AGCAGCATCCCATAGTCCCCTTCAAGGTCATGTCCTCAGTGTCCTAAAGACTTCCCAGTAGGCCCCATCTCTTAAAGAGTTCCTCTGTCTCCCAAGAGTGCCAGGCTGAGGACCAAGTCTTTAACACATGGGCCTTTAGGGGATAGTTAAGATCCAAATTACAGTGCTAAAGTGTCTTTAATGAAACACACATAAAGCAAGGTTATATATAGAACAGTTGACAAAAAACGTGACCAAAGGCTCATAGGAACCAAAACCTGTATTTCCCCTAGTAGCAACAGTTTCACATTCACTAATTCAATGCTGATGATGACTTCATAAAATATAACTCCTATAGATAATGAGAACTGACTACACAAACCCAACACTAGGTCCTATAGATTATATGTCCAGAGCAGAACTCAAATCCATTAACTTCTCTTCAATACTGTGCTGTCATCATAGGCCATTATAATAAGTTTCCCTCCTTCCCACTCAGACACTTCACTGCACTTCCAAACTGTCCAATCCATACCTTTAAAAGGGTAAATGTGACTCTCAAAGCAAAATGGGCTACCATGTTAGTCCCCAATTTAAACTGCTCAATGATTATGCTGAAGATCAAACCCCTAAATCTTTTAACAGGTCCACAAGATTACCCTTTTATACCCTGATGAATTTTTCTGCCTTAAGAATCTCTGTTCTCTTTGCACCCTCTCTACTTAATTTGTAATTCAATCTTCAGGTCTACTGCTAATTGTAACTTCCTCAAAGAGGAAACCCCCCAATCCAATAAAGTCCCTCTGTTATATTTGTTTACAGTACTTTCTACTTTTCCTTCATAATACCACCAACTTTTTTCTTATTATTATATTTGGTCTCCAATATACCATAAATTCTATGAGGGTAGAACTATGCCTTTTTAGTTTGCAACTTTACTTCTTGCATCTAGAACAGTGTTAAGCTTATAATTTTAGCTTGATAAATATCTGCTAAATAAATGAATGAACCTAACTACCCCATTACCTTTTTTTTCCCCCAATCCTAAAAACTGAACTCAGAGCCTCACACATACTAGGCAAGCACTTCACCAATGAGCTACATTCCCAACCCTTATTTTATTGTGAGATGGCCTCACTAAGTTGCTCAGCCTGCCCTCAAACAGGATTCTTCTTCCACATCCTCCCAAGTAGCTGAGATTTCAGACATACACCAATGCACAGGATCCACTACATTTTATTAACAATATCTTGAAACAATCTTAGCATGATTATATGTTTAAAATGTTTGGAGGAATGAAGCACTGATTATTTGGATGTGGCAGTGATATTTCTCTGTACTTGAAATTTAATTATAAAATGCTAAGAATTGCTGGTGCCACTTCAATGAGTCTCTGTCCTCCAACCCTATCTACAATTATATATAATATAAAATGATACAGATTTTAATAATTAGCCAAGACTAAACATATTATTAAGTAAAAAAGCATTACTTAAGGACCATGCTAAATAAACAGCCAAGCTGAAGGATTCTATAATGAGATTAAACTTTGCATAGTTCAAATAAAATTGAAGTTCTAGGATAATAGTTGTGTCAACTCCACAAAATTGTTGTAGTTCATAATAGGGTAAGAGTGGGTAGAAAGCAAAAAGCTTTGACTTCATTTAAAAGTTTTTTCCACTTAAATAGTAACCCAAGACCTTTAGTTATTTCTAATGTAATCCTTCTACATTCTCCCATAATATCTCAACATTGTCATCCTTACCATCAAACGATAACAGTATTACTTCCATTTTAAATACAAAGAAAAAACTAATTTCACCATTTAGCTCTAGAAAATTATTTTAACATTATATAAGAAACAGCTTTCAAATATAACAATTTTTATTACTTGTGTATAACAGACCATCTCATAAATTTTTCAAGTAACAAATATTTTCTGTGATAGAAATCTCACCATCACAGCAAAGTACTGACATCCAAACTGTGTTTTTTAACAAACTATTTAACACCTTGTCTGCCTTTGAACTACTTATGTTTTTAAAATGACCTGCTTTTACATGTACACAAAGAAATGTTGGTGTTGAAGTGTCTTTTTTGACTTTCTTGCACACTTCATACCACTAAACCTAGAAGTTTTCCATTTGCAGCAACTCTTAACTATCCAATACATTCTTAGTGGCCAAAAGAGTCTTATTATTTTATTCATCTTTCTCATAATCCAGTTGCTTCAGGTGAATTATTACAAGCTAGTTGTCCTTTCAAATACACAACCAATTTTCAGCATTTTCACTATGTATCTTTCCCAAACTGATAGTTGTACTTTAGTTTCATTATCCATTCTTATCATATATTGCTGAAGAAGCAATCACAATGTTCTATAACATTTCATTTTGCAGCCACAAATCTGTGACCTCATAATTTGAAATAATTCTTTATCTTTCACTCTTTTACCATTTCTGTAAGTTAATATTTTCAGATATCCTCATAAAAGTAAACCCAAAAATGTTCCCCAAAAAAACATTTTTCTTGTATGAATATTTGGTATTCAGTTTTTAACCAACATATTCTGAATAAATAGTATTTTTTCAGTAAATTTCTCCATGAAAATTAATAGTTAGCCTAAAATTTACTAGTTTCAAATGCATTTCACTTATTTCACACTAAGTTTTTTTTTTTATGTATGTGCTTGCTTTTCTAATAAATTTCTTGTGTTTTAAATTATTCTTCTCCATGACCAAATTCTTGATAGTTACATAAAATTAAATGTCAAAACCAAAACTCTATCTCATAATTCTTTACTTTTTTACTGACTGTGCCTGGTCTTTGTGTGCAAGTTGCTGGCAACAGACACTGCAACTATTGATTGATAATGATGATGAAGTATAGTATTTGGTTTTTCCACACTGTTGTTATTTCAGCACCATCATTTGACTAGCCTGATCAATTTTAAGAAATTTTTGTGATTTTGTTTTGACATAATTACCAAAAAAATTTTCAACAAAACCACTTAACCATACTCATAACACTGATAAATAAACAAAACTAAGAAATACTAAACACCAAACAATGCAAACCTGGAAAAGAACCAAAATAAAACAGAAAATCAATGTAGGTGGATTGGCAGAAAACTAGCACAACTGTTGTTATACCAAAGGTTTCTTACTCTCTTATTGGTTTCTAAAAATTTGTAACAGCTACAAGACAAACTGAACCATGATTTGGTCTTACAATTTAAAACAGCTAACATTATACTCTGACAGTCCTATTTAATTCCTGAGTTATAGTTTTTTGTCGCTTTGAAAGTTGGGGAACCCTATACTTTTCTTAAAAGAAGCTGTCTTGGGCTGGAGTCGTGGCTCAGTGGTACAGTGCTTGCCTAGCATGTGTGAGGCACTGGGTTCAATTCTCAGCACCACATATAAATAAATGAATAAAATAAAGGTCCATCAACATCTAAAAAATTTTTTGTTTAAAAAAAAGAGCTAAGCCTTAAGATTCTATTAATTTATGAATTCAAAGGTTGTTAAATGGAACTTGTTCTGGAATTTTAAACATGGAGATATTTGCATGTGAAACGCTGCCTTTTAAAGGTATGATTAGGGCTGGGGATGTGGCTCAAGAGGTAGCGCGCTCGCCTGGCATGCGCGCGGCCCGGGTTTGATCCTCAGCACCACATACAAACAAAGATGTTGTGTCCCCCGAAAACTAAACAATAAATATTAAAAATTCTCTCTCTCTCTCTCTCTCTCTCTCTCTCTCTTTAAAAAAATAAAAATAAAAATAAAGGTATGATTACACATCTCATTTAAAATCTTCACGTGAAAGAATTTTACATAACGCAGGATTTTACTGTACTTGCAAATCTAATAAATTACGCTTCCTCAGTATCTCTGCCTACTAGATAAGTTTTACATTCAAATATATTAAAGTCTTCTACCATCCAACTTTAAGTAATTTTTGTTCTTTTTTCCCTCCCCAAATCATTCTTTTTCACATGATCACTTGAAACCATGTGTTTACTTTTTTTGTCTCTTCCACTAAAACTATATTCCAAGAAGGGAGAGACCATATCTAGCTCATTTATAGCTATATACCAGCATTCAATATAAAAACTATCACATAGGAACTACTCAATAAAAATTTAAGAATCTAGAAATGAGTCTGGAACTATTTAAATGTAACTTGTCTATTTCTTTAAAGCCTACATACATGCTATTCCTTACCACTTCCCCACTCTCACCAATACACATTTTGAGCCTGTATGAACTATGACCTGTCCTAATGATTCAAAGAGGTCCCCATCAGCTGGGCACAGTGGCACATGTCTGTAATCCCAGCGCTTGGGAGGCTGAGGCAAGAGTATTGCAAGTTCAAAGCCAGCCTCAGCATCTTAGCGAGGCCCTAAGCAACTCAGCAAGAGCCTATCTCTAAACAACATATTAAAAGGGGCTGGGGATGTGGCTCGGTGGTTAAGTGCTCCTGGGTTCAATCCCAAGTATAAAAAAGATGTCATGAAAATCAATTAGCACAGTGCCTAGCACTTCATACAGGAAACACTTAAGAAATGTTTATTAGTATCCTTACATCCTCTATAACAGAGGTCAGCAATGTTTTCTGTAAGGGTCAAACAGTAAATATTTTAGGCTATCTGAGACATACAGTCTCTATTGCAACAAAAATAGGCAGCAAGCTGCATTTGGCCCATGGACCAGAGTTTGCCAACCCCTGGTGTAGAGCAGGGTTCTTAACCTCAGCATTACTGATATTTGGGGCTGAATAACTATTTACTGTAGAGAGCTGCTGTGGATTGTAGGATATTTAGCAGCATTCTTGCAGACTTCATAAGATGCCAACAGCATCCCCCAATCTATCCTGGAGGACAAAATCACCCCTAGTTGAGAAACACTGCTCTAAAACAATCAAACATGAAATGATGTAGCTTGAATTTTCAAATAAAGATAATACCTTAACTAAGATAGAAAATAATAATTTAACACACTGAAAGTGTTTATACTTACTTAGCTAGAAGTCCCACACTTAGCAATAACTTTATAACTTCTGTAATACACACAGCTGTGGTTGAAAAGTAGAGTTCTTTTTCTGTTGTCCTCGTGTATCTTAAAGCTATAGTATAAGCTGCAGCCACCAAGGTCATCACTGTCAAGCAGTATAACTTGAATAGTAAACTGACATTTTCTGGAAAATATGTGAAACAAAAATATTATTATAAAAATAATAATATTTTTATATACAATATTATATATATAAAAGCTAATCAATTAGTTATAGCCCAAAATGCTTTCCAATTTCTGCCACAAAATACATTTTAAACATATACATACATACATATATATTTAATTCCAGGTACTGTCCCAATGTCAGTAAACATTTCATTTCTTGTACCAGGCCCAGGCAGACCTACATATAATTTAAATGAGTACAATACATGTAGCATGTGAAATACTTCAAATCTAACTTATCTCTGGCATACCATACTTTTTAAGGCAGAAGTACTTTGTATAATCATTATTACAAAGTATTTGCCAGTTAATCTTTTTTTTTCAGTTGTAAATGGACACAATACCTTTATTTTATTTACTTATTATTTTTTAAAGTGGTGCTGAGGAATGAACCCAATGCCTTACATATGCCAAGCAAGCACTCTACCTCTGAACCACAATCCCAGCCAGCCAGTTAACTTTTGTTAACCAGAACCACACATTACATTCCATAGGTATTCCAGTTAAATGAGGTTTTTATCTAAAAGGACATGGTACCAAAGTTGGAAAATTTCCCTTTTTTTCAGCAATTTTGAGACATCAGCCACCAACACACCTCACTACCTTCTTGAAAATATAACATGAAATATTACTTTTGATGAAAAAATATATATCCTAATTATTTAGGGAAAATTATTAAGTTGTCAAAAATCCTATTTTGAAATAATACTTTCCATTAACTGAACATGAAACACAGATGACTTTACATATTAATACCACTTAGGTATAGATTTTGTTCAGTGTTCCAATTGATTGCAAGGTTCTGTGGCATACTAACTAGTTTATTATAAATTATAATTGTAATTATCTTTATGATTACAAACTTTGAAAGCAAAGCATGAAAGCAATTGCAATGTATATTTCAAATTTAAATACAGCAGAAAATAAAAAGGGATAATTGAATGACAAAATAGAACTTTTTCAAAATCAAAAATTATATCTAGCCTCTCATTTCACTGTATTAAACAAAAAATAATTCATAACAAAAAAGAGGATTAAGAACAAAGCTCTACAAAACTTGAAATGCAGGAAATACACAACTTATAGACATTCAATTTGAAAACTGCCTGCAAGTATATTTTAGCAGCTGCTATTATTCAAGCACCAGAGTCAATTCTACCATTTTAATAAAATCACAAGCTGGGTACCAGGTTTTTCTCATACTTCCTACTCTCACACTGCCAACACCCAAGGCTCAATTATTTCTTTCAAGAAAAAATTTGGGATTTCATGTAATATAAATTATAATTTATTATAATGCGATCTAGTCATGAGAATGGAATTATTTGGGAGAGGTTCTATTTTGTTTACTTAGTGTTCAAACTCCAGTATTCTGTCATGAGATCAACTGCAAGTGTTCATCTGTTTAAAAACAAAAGCAAAAAAAAAAAACATTTTTAGCTCATGGGCCATACAAAAATAAACAGGAGGCTGATTTGGCCAGTGGGTCAATGCTTCGCCAACTCTAGGTTAAGAATCAGAGAGACATGGATAGGGTGACTCCAGGCTGCTTTTGTAACTAACCTTTGTGTTAAATGTGCTGTTGTTCACTGCTTTGGAAGCCTAACCACAATTCAGAAATGACTTTTGTGGGAAAATAAAATAGGTATTTCAAAGAGATTACCTTTAAATATGTTAACATAGAATAACCTACCAAGGAAACAGTTTCTTTGATTTACATATTTCCCGAGAGTAAATTAAAAATTTGTAAGTAGCAGGCAAATTTTTAAAATTACAGGTCTTAAAGTATTATGGTAGAACAGAAGAAATGGATCTTATAACTGTTTAAGCTTTCTTTCCAAAAGATCTGACAAGCCAAAAAGCAATGTGTAAAAGGAAGTAAAGGAGACTACTACAATACTTGCTTTGTTCTAAAACTTTTCAACAGCAGGGGAAAATGTATTACTTCAAAAACGAACAGCAATAGGGCTGGAGGTATAGCTCAGTGGCAGAGCACTTGCCTAGCATAAGTGAGGGCCAGTTTCAATCCCGAAGACCTCAAAAAAAATTAATCAAAAAACAAAATAACGTTGACTTAATCAGTACAGGAGAAAGCACTTCGCTAGATTGGGGAGAGCAAACAACACTGTTGCTCATTTTTATTTGGCCTGTGAGCTCAGAATGGTTTTACATTCTTAAAAAATAGTTGAAAAAAATTTTTAAAACACTTTATACCATAAAAATTATATGACTCAAATTTCAGCATCCGTTAATAAAGTTTTATTGGAACACAGCCACACTTATCTCCTTACAATTAGTTTTGGCTACATTTTGTCCTACAACTTCAGGGCTGAGTAGTTAGACAAAGATCATCAGCCCTTTACAGAAAGTTTGCCCACCTGTGTCCTAGATTATCCATACTTTCACGAAGAGGTTAGAACTGCCAAATTCAAATCTACTTTATTTTAGCTTTTATATAGTGTCCTGATTCTGAAAATAAGAGTGAATGTTTAAACACTAAACCTAATATCTGTAGCCTAGAAACATATTCTGACCTAGAACATTATTTTGTCATCAACTTCAAAAAAAAATAATAACTATCTGCCTAGTGGTTATATAAGTAGGAAAGTAATAGTAAGTTTAGATACTTGTAAAACATGTAGAATTGGGGTATGTAGTGCCATTTTAGAAACATATTTCAACTTTTTAAAACTAAGATTTTAAGTATGATTGCCTCTGACATTCCATTCACAAATTGTCCTGAATGAAATTTCAGTTATAAGGAATGTTAACCTTTTGGGGATTCACTTTAAACTTTCCTGTGAATTCAATCATGCCCAAGGCCAGTAACTACAAACCAAGTCCACAACTCAACTGGCAGCCACATTGTTTTAACCCTACTTTGTGCCCTGCTTCTCACAAAGCTCCCATTAGCTCCCACACAAAAATTTTTTCTGTGTGAGCAATGTCCCAGAAAGAAACTTACACTCTGGAATTAGATTTTTTTTCCCATCATATTTTAGGGGTGACATTATTTGTAATACCTGATCTCAGATAAATCCTTTGTGAATATCAGGAAGCTATGGAAACTAATTTTTGTTAGGATTATACATTTCCACAGGTATATCAGAGTCAGGCACATGTACAGGCAATAAACCTGAATCTGTCAATTGTTATTATTTCGGGTAATGATTTGACTTCTGTAATTTTTAAGTGTTAATCTATCATTAATCTTGCTATCCCCATTCTATGCTTGTTATCAAAACAGTTCTTTCCTTTGTGTCCTGTATTGCTACACAAAAGACTCAAGGGGGAGGGGGGGAAAACACTCAAGATTTATTTGAAATGGACTAATACATAAGAGAAGCATATGCAACTACAGACAACGCCCCTGGGCAGGGCCTGATGATAAATGTAGACTTCCCAACAAGGTAAATAACTTGGCACTCTTGCAAAAAGGTATTCTTTAAATATTTGCTCGTTTATTTTGTGGTGAAGCTCAATGCTCCATGAAGAAAGGGTGGAGAAGGTATAAGGGTGGAGAAGGTACAAAGCTGTCATTCAGCCTCTCCTAGCTACTAATCTATAGTACAAAAATTCAGCTCTGGTCCCAACTTATATAAACCTCTAGCAAAACCCAAGTGCTGCGGAGTTAACTAGACTCACCTTCTTTAAATGGCAATTAGTGACCAAATATTATTGCTCTAATGTGCCATCCCTTGGGGGAGGGAAGTGAACCTCATTTTTCACCCAAAATACCAGTATTCCTTCTAACTACGTACAACATTTTCCTTGGGAAGAACTCCTAACGACAGCTTTCTCCATTTCGATATGATTAAAGTGCTGTTTTAATGTCTCTATAATGTTTAGGTCTCTGAACGTCCGCCCGTAGGGCAGAAGGCACAGACGAGACCTCAGCGGGTGGCGCCGACCAGGACAGGGAACTGTCCAGTCTCATGATGGGTGATGCAGATCCAGCCCGGGGCCGTCGCCTCGGCCCTTCTCCGGGTCTTCTGCAGCCTTGGCCAGACAGAATCCTATTCCCACCCACTACCAGCTCTTGGAAATTGGTGCAGTCTAGCCCGCAGAGCCCGTCGCACAGAGGGTAGCCGCAGCGGGAATCTGGCAGTGCTGACCACCAGCGAGCGAGTCAACACCAACTCCTGACACCCGACGCCTACGCCGGGCAAGGGCCCACCGACGCGGAGGGTACCGCCGCCCGACAGGTGCGAGGCAGCACTGGCAGTATCCTGCCGCCCAATGTTGGCCGCACTACCACACCACCACCACCACTCCCCGCAGCCCGGCCTCACCTCTGGGAGCAGCCATGGCGCTCCGACAGCCCGGCGCGGAACTGACGCGCGCTCCCTCCGCTCACCCAGCGCAAGACGCGAGGGACCGCCCCCACGACCATAGAGACGGCACCGCTAGGCCTAGAGCGCCCCGCCGCCGCCAGCCAGCCAGCCAGCCGGCTTCCCTCCCTGCAGAGCACCGAGATCAGGCGCAAGGATCCGCGCTGCTCCTGAAAAGTGAAGAGCAGGATGGAGGAGAGGCTTCTACGATTTAGTACTTCGTGACAAGTGTTGAAACTCTGTCCAACGCGCAGTTCTGTAAACCTCAACTCCCAGTCGGCTAAAGAAGCCAAGTCAAGGGAACTGAGCATTGCCTTCTGGGAATTGGAGTCCTCACATAGATGGCAAATAAAAATTTGGAGTTGCCTTGGTGATTCTTTTCTGTCAGAGCTATTAGAGAAGCTACCAGACTTCCTAAAGCACAGAAGCTACTTTCAACAACTTTATAAATTCGACTTCTCTCGTTGCTTTCCATGTCACCTCCTGCGTAAATCTAGTACAATTGGCATTACATATACCTCAAAAGTCTTGAGCCTGAGTCCTTATCGTCAACATTTGCCACTGATTGTATC